CATGGAAGTGAGACAGATGGAAAATATGGATGAACAAACATGGAGGAGTAAGGGAAATCATCCTCATTGAAAGAAACTGTAATGGCCATTTATGTTCTACCCTCAGGGCTGAGACACTTGTAATCTTTCTGATGAAAGTTGTATCCCAAAAATAGACATTTTGACGTGCTAAATATGAACATATTGGAATTGTATGGTCTAAGACACGGAAAACAAGTAGACCCAAAAGTCTTGAGAAAAGTAAGGTCAGGAAGAGTATGAAAAAGCTTTTAGAATTAAGGTTTATTTGAAAGAAATGTGGTGGCAGATGGTGTACATTGTAGTGTTAAAGGCATCCCACCAGTACTTAAGTGGCATGTGTGCTTGAGCAAGAAGAGACAGACCTATTTTCACAATATGAAAGTGTTTTCTCTTAGTCTTACTATTTTGTTGTTGTGTGAGGACAAGTATGCCTAAAATTAATGCCAAGTTGATCAAGAGAGGGGACCAAAGGCCTATAATAACCACACCAATCAGATTGAAGATATGTGATAGTAGTATGAAACTGAGTGTTAACAAAACTAAGAAACCGTTTGAAAACAATGACAACCTCAGATTTTAACTTCAAGGGAAAAATCCAAGTGAACCTAGTGAAATCATCAATGAAATAAACATAATACTTGTAGTCATCAACAGAGGGAACATGAAAAGGTCCCCACACATTAGAATGCACAAGTTCAAAGGCATAGAAGTTTTAGTAGGCTGAGAATTAAACTGTTTCTGATGCAGTTTGCCGAGTTTGCATGCATCACACAAAGGCAAACTAGAAGGTACAGAAAGCTTTAAATTATTCATCACAGTTGTAAAAACATTTGAACAAGGATGTCCAAGTTTTCTATGCCAGTTGAGCATTACAACTTTATTAAGTACATGATTGCCCATAGAACATGTGAAATTACAAGGAACAATAAAAAAAGATTCTGAAGACAAGAACAAGAAAGTTGATAGCTTGGATACGAATGTGGTGGCTCTATATACGGTGGGTATATCTCCTCTTGGTAGTTGTTGGATTATCCACGAGACGTGCTTCCAGCGTAACAGCCGTACGAATCCATATGGGATCCTCAAGCGAATTACCTCGGTAGTTGTTGTAAAAAATTCATGCTTTGTTATTTGGTTTGAGTAGATTTTAATTTAATTCCCATCCAAAACTAATTAGGTTCGGATTACCATAAATATGTTGATTTATTTATGATCATTTTAGATGTATTAATTATTTTTTAATATCATTTCCTATTATAACTATTTGAATTGTAAATATATTTTAAAAGTTGATAATTTTTGTATTACTTAATGTATCAAATTAATCATCTTTTGATGAGTTTCGATTTGACATACATATTGTATATATAAAATAAATTATATTTATCTTTGCAATAATAAAAAAATTACTAAAATTAATTAAAAAAATAAAATTATTTCTCAATTAATATATTCATGTTTAATGTAGTTATATGTTATAAGTTATAAAAACTATTATAATATAACACATGTAAGTCGCACAAGTAACAAGTGTCATACTAAAATAACATATA